TTTTCGCGGGGGATTGCATTTCACCCTCGCGGTAACCTCTCCTTCCACCTCCCCCAATAAGCGGCGGTTCTTTATTGTTTATCTTAGGAAGAAATACTAGCGCCGATAACCAACGGCTGCAAAAATTTATAAACAAAACAAGCGCCGAAAATCTACGTCATCTAAATTTTTCTCGTTCGTACGTTGACGAACAAAGAGTTGATCGGGATATATAATGAGGACCGATGCCGCTGCCGGGCTATAGTACGGTGACCACGAGAGCGCATGCTTTCCTCAAGGAAAAATAGTTGTGAGAAAAAAGTTTAGTGTGCAATTAAAGTAGTTATTTCTGTGCAGTACAAATAAATTTTTTACAAAAATGGAGAACGCGAAGAATGTTGAGCGCGACCTGTTGGAGCGTTCCCGCCAAGTCGCCACCTTGAGCGAATATTTCGGATGGCTGCAAGAGTGCGAAGAATTTATCGAAGATCTGGAAGAACGCAGCCGTGTCAAGCGTCCGCATCTCTCGATTGGACATAGGCAATCTCTGGTGGCGAGAATAGCGCGACTCGAGGGTGCAAAGGTGCGCTTGCAGAGACGGTATGTCGGTGAATCCATACCTAGTGGCGGCGGATTTAGTGGTGGCGGCAATAACATGCAAAGACTCGTTTGGCGCGAAATCGATACAGCGTTCGATAGCCGTATACTGACCGGTGCGGTAATTAACGCAGACTATATCGAACCGCGTCAATTTTTGGAAAATGCCACAGACATTGTAGTCGAGAACGTGGAGAATGTGCTGCAGAGACACGTTAGTGTAAAAGTGAACACTGTTTTCAACGGCGAATTTGTGTCCGGTGACAAGCGCGCCAATAAAAGTATCAACACGAGAAACTTTAAACTTTTTTGCACGTCTGATGTACGCGAGTGGTACAAGCGCCGCGTAATCGAACCCATGCTAGCATTGTTAGAAGAGTTCCAGGAACGCTAAAGCGGCTGGGTATTGTCACGGATAATAGATTTGACAGTGAATGTAAATAAATACAATCCTATGCGCGCGGGATGTCGTATCACATTACCACGAAAAATTGTGACAAAGAAAGCGGTTGTTAATGTGAGATCAACGGACAATGCGTGTTTCGCATGGTCAGTGGTAGCCGCTCTGTACCCCGCTGATATACATGTGGATCGGGAATCCTCCTATCCGCATTACACCACAGTGCTGAATGTCCAAAACATTGAGTTTTCAGTGACTGTGAATCAAATTAAAAAATTTGAACTGGCAAACGACATCTCAGTAAACGTGTACATTATCGACAACGAGAACATCGTCCCGCTACGTCTTTCGGAAAAAAAGAAAGACAGACACGTCAATCTGCTGTACGTGGAAGACGAAAACAGCGTCGGGCATTTTGCGTGTATAAAAAATCTGTCTCTCCTCGTGAGCTCGCAACTGAGCAAAAAGAAATGTAGAAGATATATATGCGATCGGTAAGTATATATTTATTACACGTAAATTATATTTAAAATAATTTTAATTAACTTTTTTTATTTTTACAGATGTTTACACTATTTCGGAGCGGCGGATAAATTGCAGGCACATACGGAAGATTGTGGAAAACTGAACGACTGCGCTATTCGGTTGCCGAGCGACAAGGACAAATGGCTCAGCTTTGACAACTACAGGAGGAAAAAGCGGCTGCCGTTTGTGGTGTACGCCGACCTCGAGTGTGTTTTAGCAAAGACCGAAGATGCCAAAAATTATCAACACCATCAAGTATTCAGCATCGCGTATTACGTACAGTGTTCGTATGACAGTGCGTTATCCGCGTACAATTTCCGCCGTAGTGTCGATTGCGTTGCATGGTTCGCCGAACAGCTTAAAAATTTAGCAATCCGCGTAAAAAATATTTTAACAACCAATGTCCCCATGGTAAATTTAACGCCTGACAAGTGGGCAAAATTTCGCAGCGCGACGCATTGTCACATTTGTAAGAAACCGTTTGACAAAGACGATACACGCGTTCGCGATCATTGTCACCTCATCGGGCGGTACAGAGGCCCCGCGCACTCAAATTGTAACTTAAATTACAAAGAATCATTTTGTATTCCTATAGTCTTTCACAATCTGTCCGGCTACGACGCGCATTTCATTATCGAAGACATAGCCACAGCGTTCGAAGGAGAAATCGAATTACTGCCGATAACGAAGGAAGAATATATATCATTCTCGAAAACTGTTAGATTGACACAAGACAACAATGCGAAAAATTATATCAAATTACGCTTTATCGATTCGTATAAGTTTCTCAGTGCTAGTCTTGACAAATTAGCGTCATTTTTGGATAAAGATAAACTAAAAATTTTACATTTGGAATATCAAAATTTATTGACAGATACGTTTAATTTATTGACACGGAAGGGCGTCTTTCCATACGAATACATAGACTGTGTGGACAGATTACAAGACACACGTTTACCGCCGCGCGACTCATTTTACAGTTCCCTGACCGGCGACACAGTATCCGAGAGTAATTACACGCACACCGAGACCGTCTGGAGCCGATTCTCTCTTCGAACGCTAGGCGAATATAGCAATTTATATTTAAAAATTGATGTCTTGTTATTGGCAGACATATTTGAAATTTTTTGCGACAGTTGTATAAAAAGTTACGGACTCGATCCCGCGTATTATTATACTCTCCCCGGATATACATGGGACGCCATGTTAAAACATACAAATATAAAATTTGAATTATTAACAAACATTGACATGGTAATGTTTGTCGAACGGGGTATACGCGGCGGGCTTATTGTTAGTCAATGTTCAAGCCGATACGCACAGGCAAATAACAAGTACATGCAATCGTATGACCCATCGAAACCTTCATCTTACCTCATGTATTTTGATGGAAATATTTTGTACGGATGGGCAATGTGTCAACCATTGCCATATGCCGATTTTTGATGGGTCGACGATGTATCAAATTTTGACATATCATCTATCGCGTTCGATTCACCTATAGGCTATGTTCTCGAAGTAGATTTAAAGTATCCACAGCATCTTCATGACGCGCACATTGACCTACCGTTTTGCCCGACGTGCGATAAGCCGCCCGGCAAGCGGGAGTATAAACTCCTCGCAACGTTTTACGATAAGAAGCGCTACGTAATACACTATCGTAATCTGCAGCAGTGCACGCGCCACGGGCTACGCATAACAAAAATATATCGCATACTACAATTCACGCAGTCAGCGTGGCTTCAAAAATACATCGAACTCAACACACAGTTTAGAACACGAGCGAAAAACAATTTTGAAAAAAATTTATATAAATTGATGAATAACGCGGTATTCGGCAAGACGATGGAAAATGTGCGCAATCATGTGGATGTAAAATTATTAACAAAATGGGACGGACGGTACGGTGCGGAGGCAATGATCGCGAAACCAAATTTTCATAGTACAAGCATATTTTCGGAAAAATTAGTTGCCATAGAATTTTTATGGTATATTTTCTTCCCGACTTATCTTTTTGAAGAAAGAAAATTCTCTAAATAGACAGTGCTAAGTATAGAGGTCAGTTGTGAAAAATTGTATTACTGTAAGAAATATTATTTAAAAATATAGTGTTATTTTTATCTGTACAAATCAATGTTGATACATTTTTAGAAACTTGGTGCTGGTAATCTAACTGATATATTAATGAAGTTGAGAGCGCTAAGTTTTTTCAATTAAATTTGTTTTACTTTTATTTCTTTTTCTCTGTTTTTTTCACTTATATATTTCTAATATTTTTCATAAATTTTTAATTTTGAATATAATTTTTCTAGGGAATTAAAACAACAATTTGTACACATAATAGTTTTTTCAGTTAAAATATTTTTATTTATAAAAATAAGAAAAATTAATAAATAACATTTTTTTGTTTTTATTATAAAAGGTTCTTTCAACTGATTGATCTATATACATATACACGTTTATAAATAAATATTTATATTGTATAAATAATCAATTAATTTTAATTATACCAAAATTATTTTGATAACGCTCATGTATTATTTACAATAATAATCTTAATGTGTTGATAAGGCCAACTATCGAGCATAAATTATAAGAATGTTCATATAAAAAATTTTAAAAATTATTTTTTTAATTGCACAAAATACATTATAAAAGATTTGATATTACAAAGATAACAGACGTTTTGACTGTACGCAGTCTTCTTCAATATTAATAGTATATTAGCTAACAAGTGCGGGGGATCGTAAATCGGCCGAGAGTGCGGAAGTTTGGCGCACTAGGCGAAGCCGAGACAATCCGCACAATCGGCCGATTTATGACCCGCACATATTGGCTACGATATTTTGTGTGACCGGTGCGTGGAAAGGAAGCCCTTTCTAAAATCCCATCATGTGCGGAAAGGGCAACTTTTCGCGCGCCGGTTGCACAAAATCTATATTATATAAAATTATTAGGAATAAATGTCAAACTCTAAAATAGACAGTTGTATCTGTAATTTATGTAAACACATTCTCCCATGGATTTCTTAATATAGCCTTAGATGTGGAGAATATTTCTTAATTCCATTGTTTGAAGGCGTAGAAATGTCATAGTTCTCGAAAATATAAAGAACCCACTAAATAGAAAGGATGATTTTAATGTTGTGGATTTAGAAAATTAATGTTAAATTACTTACATATGTGTCTATTCTTAATGAGTTTATAATAATCTGTTATGTAGTTATAACCATCTTTTTCCATTGTAGAAATTTATCATTAGTAACTCCAATTAAAAACTTATTTCGAGCACTTAAAATATTGATATACAATAATTTAAGTACTCGAAATAAGTGATTAAGTGCTCGAAATAAATGATAAATTGGCGTTACTAGTGATAAATTTATATAAGGGTTTCCAACGATAAAATGTGAAAATGTTATTATGAGTGTATTTACATGTCAGAGATTATGACAAAATTGTTTATTATTTTTACTGAACCTGTATGTCATGTTTATTTATTTGTTTATTTTATGTAATTAAATTTTTTTTAAATTTTTTTCACATCTTTATAATTTATGCTCAATAGTTTTGATTGATCTATCAACACATTAAGATTATTATTAATTATTTTATTTTAATTATACTATTAACGTGTTGCGTTGGCGCAAAAGAAAAATAGGTTTTTTTACCTTCTTCATCAATAATGTTTTTAGTCGCTTCAAGATTTCTGTAGTAGCCGTTCATTATAATTGCCGTTTTCATCCACAATTCTCCTGGATTATTTGGATCAAGAATCTTTCCGGTTTCTGGGTCTACGATCTTTATTTTCGCATTCTGGACTACAGTCCCGCAAGATCCAGCTTTGTGATGTGGGAGCTGAAATGTAACGAATCCACAGACTTCTGTCATTCCTAGAAATATAAAATAAATAATCAAATTTTTGCGGTAAATCTTTCTTGTTCACTTATTATATATTATGTTATTTCTTATACATATATTAATTTTGTATTTATAACATTTTATTACACTAAAATATTACCTACCATAACCTTGCAACATTTGAACATGCGGCAAGATATGTTTTATTTCTTCTTGAACTTTTGGATCGATTACCGCGCCACCACTATTTATGATTTTTAAAGTTGATAATGAATACTTTCTTAAATAATCCGTTTTAAGAAATCGATTGATCATGCTCGGGCTTAGAAAAATCACTGTTATCTGAATAGTAAAATGAGAAAAAAAGATTCATATTTTCCAATAAAATTATATATGTAACTTAAATTTATATAAACTATTATTGTACATTATTAACATATGATTTATTGTAATGATAAACATTTATTGCTCATAACAAATGCAAATCTCCGAATAAATAGACTCTAGCAGCAAATTAATGGCATTCTTCTAAGAGTGGCAAATTTATATGAATATTACGTTGAAAAAACATTTACTTAAAAGAAATAATTAACTTTATAACAAAGTAAATCCCTAAGAGCAACATTATTATTTTGTAGGCGAATTATTATTCTACCGATATTCATTTATATACACGCGTGAGCGGCGAATTACGTTTCCTCTCCCCCCCTCTGCCGCTGGCGGCGCTGCGTAAGAAAGAAGGGAGAAGGTTAAGAGGTCAGTTCCCCGCAGAGTGTGAGCCATCGTGCGTGTTCTATCGAGTACAGTTTAACCTAATAAAGATCCTTTGTTAAGATCCACTAGAAGCCTTATTAGAATTACGCCCTGACATCATCTAAAACTATCCTGACACCACCTACAACTTCAGAAGTGGGATCGAAGAAGAAGTTAGCGAAGGATCCGTGAGGTTAATACACGCACGAGAGATACACGGGACTTTGAAAAGTACGACCAAGTGTTGTGGTCGATGCAGAGAAAACCGTGTCTTGTGTTACTCGAGTAGGGGGACAGAATATTCCGCGCTGTGTGCCACGAATATTTTGAAGGTTATTCGCGCTGTGTGCCGCGAAGCTTTGCTCGTGCTAAAAGACAGAATATTCCGCGCTGTGTGCCACGAATATTTTGAAGGTTATTCGCGCTGTGTGCCGCGAATCTTTGCTCGTGCTAAAAGACAGAATATTCCGCGCTGTGTGCCACGAATATTTTGAAGATTATTCGCGCTGTGTGCCGCGAATCTTTGCTCGTGCTAAAAGACAGAATATTCCGCGCTGTGTGCCACGAATATTTTGATGGTTATTCGCGCTGTGTGCCGCGAATCTTTGCTGCGTGCAAAAAGACAGAATATTCCGCGCTGTGTGCCACGAATATTTTGATGGTTGTTCGCGCTGTGTACCGCGAATCTTTGCTGCGTGCAAAAAGACAGAATATTCCGCGCTGTGTGCCACGAATATTTTGATGGTTGTTCGCGCTGTGTGCCGCGAATCTTTGCTGCGTGCTAAAAGACAGAATATTCCGCGCTGTGTGCCACGAATATTTTGATGGTTATTCGCGCTGTGTGCCGCGAATCTTTGCTGCGTGCTAAAAGACAGAATATTCCGCGCTGTGTGCCACGAATATTTTGACGGTTATTCGCGCTGTGTGCCGCGAATCTTTGCTGCGTGCAAAAAGACAGAATATTCCGCGCTGTGTGCCACGAATATTTTGATGGTTATTCGCGCTGTGTGCCGCGAATCTTTGCTGCGTGCAAAAAGACAGAATATTCCGCGCTGTGTGCCACGAATATTTTGAAGGTTATTCGCGCTGTGTGCCGCGAATCTTTGCTGCGTGCTAAAAGACAGAATATTCCGCGCTGTGTGCCACGAATATTTTGACGGTTATTCGCGCTGTGTGCCGCGAATCTTTGCTGCGTGCTGAAAGACCGAATATTCCGCGCTGTGTGCCACGAATATTTTGACGGTTATTCGCGCTGTGTGCCGCGAATCTTTGCTGCGTGCTAAAAGACAGAATATTCCGCGCTGTGTGCCACGAATATTTTGACGGTAATTCGCGCTGTGTGCCGCGAATCTTTGCTGCGTGCTAATTGTTCCGCCGCGTACGAGAGAAAGCGAGTCCACGTATCGCGCGCGGTGAATCGACGTGTAACGCGATATCCTTGTGAGATAGAATATTCCGCGCTGTGTGTCGCGAATATTTTGACGGTAATTCGCGCTGTGTGCCGCGAATCTTTGCTGCGTGCTAATTGTTCCGCCGCGTACGAGAGAAAGCGAGTCCACGTATCGCGCGCGGTGAATCGACGCGTAACGCGATATCCTTGTGAGATAGAATATTCCGCGCTGTGTGTCGCGAATATTTTGACGGTTATTCGCGCTGTGTGCCGCGAATCTTTGCTGCGTGCAAAAAGACAGAATATTCCGCGCTGTGTGCCACGAATATTTTGAAGGTTATTCGCGCTGTGTGCCGCGAATCTTTGCTGCGTGCAAAAAGACAGAATATTCCGCGCTGTGTGCCACGAATATTTTGACGGTTATTCGCGCTGTGTGCCGCGAATCTTTGCTGCGTGCAAAAAGACAGAATATTCCGCGCTGTGTGCCACGAATATTTTGATGGTTATTCGCGCTGTGTGCCGCGAATCTTTGCTGCGTGCAAAAAGACAGAATATTCCGCGCTGTGTGCCACGAATATTTTGATGGTTATTCGCGCTGTGTGCCGCGAATCTTTGCTGCGTGCTAAAAGACAGAATATTCCGCGCTGTGTGCCACGAATATTTTGACGGTAATTCGCGCTGTGTGCCGCGAATCTTTGCTGCGTGCTAATTGTTCCGCCGCGTACGAGAGAAAGCGAGTCCACGTATCGCGCGCGGTGAATCGACGTGTAACGCGATATCCTTGTGAGATAGAATATTCCGCGCTGTGTGTCGCGAATATTTTGACGGTAATTCGCGCTGTGTGCCGCGAATCTTTGCTGCGTGCTGAAAGACCGAATATTCCGCGCTGTGTGTCGCGAATATTTTGACGGTTATTCGCGCTGTGTGCCGCGAATCTTTGCTGCGTACTGAAAGACAGAATATTCCGCGCTGTGTGTCGCGAATATTTTGACGGTAATTCGCGCTGTGTACCGCGAATCTTTGCTGTGTGCTAATTGTGCCGACGTGTGTCGCGAACATTTAGACTGAGGTTAAACATTTATTAACACGTCGCTGTGTGCTAGGACGTATAGAAAAGGGAAGTGCAGTGTGTCGCTAACAATGGCGAGACCGCCGAGTGCGTATACGCTTGCCGAGATTAAGGACATTCTCCGCGAGAAGAAATTGCCGGCGACCGGTAACAAAGCTGACCTGATAGATCGATTGACTGCCAATGACCCGGAGATATGGACCACACTGGATGAACAGAGGTCACGGCAGAGCCGCGGTGTCGATCAGCCGATTGACGCGGGCCATGAATCGAGGGATGCCGTCGCGGGCAAGGACAATGAAAGCCAAGTAAGTAACGACGCATCCGTTGAAGGTCCTTTGACTGAGAATGACTTGATTCGACGAGAAAATGAACTACTTAGAAGAGAACGAGCTCTTCTTCAACGTGAATTAGATATCGTTAGACGAGAGAACATCGAAGATCATGGAGCACCGCAGATGAATGATGGCGGAAGAAGACGTAATGGTCCACCGATGAGCGAAAGTGTAAGGGCTATTCGCGACTTGTTGAGCGAATTCGACGGCAGTGAGGGTACGTTCTGGAAATGGGAACAGCAGGTACAATTGCTGCGAGTGTCGTACGCCTTGGATGATGCTGCGACAAGAATTTTAATAAGCTCTAAATTAAAAGGACGTGCATCCGAGTGGTTTCACTCCAAACCACATCATCTTACCCTTGGTATAGAAAATCTATTGGCGGCCATGAAGGGAATGTTCGACCTTCGTCAATCAAGATTGTCCCTACGCAAGAAGCTCGAAGAGAGAGCATGGCGGACGGACGAATCATTCACGAGTTACTTCCATGATAAAATAATCCTCGCTAATAGGGTACCGATAGTAGATGACGAAGTAGTCGATTATGTCATCGAGGGTATACCTGATCGCAATCTCAGAGATCAAGCACGTATTATGCAGTTCGAGTCTCAGTCGGATTTGTTGGAGGCATTTAAAGGATTGACGCTACACCCGAAGAAGTTCCCTGATCGCGAATGGAAGAAACCTATTGATCAAGGAAAAATCCAAAAGGATGGGAAATTGTCGACGAAGGAGAGTTCAGCGTTTAAAGGAAATCCAGCATCGTCGAGTGCAGATTTGGCACCACGCCGAAAGATAATTAAATGTTATAACTGCCAGGGAGTTGGACATCTGGCATCCGCATGTTCACACCCGAAGAAAGTTAAGGGAGGCTGTCATCGATGTGGTTCAGCCAGCCACTTGAAAAAAGACTGTCCCGAGAAAGAGTCGAAACCCGAGTCGACGAACGTTGTGAACTTGATCGAACCGATACCCGTTAGCGATCCGTATTGTGTACAGTTAAAGTTTTCGGTGTCCTTTGAAGGGGATATGGATCGTGAATATACAGTAGACGCGATAGTTGATCCCGGCTCCCCAGTGAGCCTCATAAAAACTGAGTATGTTCCGACGAGTTTGCGCGAACCGCTACCTCCTAACGGCGATTGTTTCTGTGGAGTAAATAAATCCCCTGTTCGCGTAATAGGCACCTTTTCGAAATTAGTCGAAATCGAAAGAATTAATATTCAGCTACGTTTTCTGGTAGTACCGAACGAAACAATGTCGTGTGCGGCATTACTTGGTCGCGATTTTTGTCGAGATCCGTTAATAAAAATCGAACTAGGTAAAACGGTAAAGATTACTAGGAGAAACGAGTCGACAAGCGAGAACAATTTTGATACCGAGATTATGCAAATAGAATATCTCGAAAATCCTGTAAAAGTTGGAGAAGAATTGAATATTAATCCCGGTGTCGAATCGCATGTAGTCGAAAGCGTTCGAAGATTGTATAACAAAGAATACGTTGATAAATGGGATTCGGATGCGAGCGAGCCGGAAACCGAGATGAAAATTTTATTAAAAAATGAACAGCCGATTACCTTCCGGCCTAGGCGTTTAACGTATGCCGATAAAGAAAAGTTGCAAGTAATATTAGACGACTTATTGAAAACAGGTACAATTAGGCAGAGTGATTCACCCTACGCTAGCCCAATCGTTCTCGTGCGGAAGAAAAATGGCGAGTCACGACTGTGTGTCGACTTCCGTGAAATAAATAAGATTACTGTAAAAGACAATTTTCCCACACCGTTGATAGATGATCATATTGATCGGTTAAAAGGAAAAAAATATTTTAGTAGTCTCGACTTAAGGAACGGATTTTATCATATTAAGATGTCTGAGTGTTCGGTAAAATACACCTCGTTTGTGACGCCTATCGGACAATTTGAATTCCTACGAATGCCGTTCGGGTTGACTAATGCTCCACGAGTGTTCCAGAGATTCGTCAACAAAGTCTTTGATAAACTCATCCGAGAGAGTAGTATCTTGTTATATCTAGATGATATTTTGATAGCGACTGAAAGTATAGAGGAACACCTAAATATTTTGAAAGATGTATTTGAAATAGCGCGACGATACCGGTTGCAGTTTAGACTCGATAAATGTTTCTTTGTTCGAACGGAAATTGTATATCTTGGGTATTTAATTAATGAAAATGGTATTCGCCCGAGTGAGCAACATGTTGAAGCCGTAACTAATTACCCAATCCCGCGAAACATAAAAGAGACGCATCGATTTGTTTGTTTAGCTAGTTACTTCCGTCGTTTCATCCCGAAATTTTCAGTAGTCGCTAAACCGTTATATGACTTAGTCAAGAAAGATGCCGTGTTTAAATTTGGTTCAGAGGAGATCAAGGCCTTCGAAGAATTGAAACAGTTGTTATCTTCTCAACCGATACTATCGATTTATTCCCCGACACTTGAAACAGAATTGCACTGCGATGCGAGTACAAGTGGTTTCGGCGCGATACTTTTACAGCGACAAAAGGATGGTATTTTCCGGCCTGTATTTTATTTTAGTAAACGGACAACAGTTGTCGAATCCAAGTATCACAGTTTTGAGCTGGAGTGTCTCGCTGTGATTTATGCGATTAAACGGTTTCATATCTATCTCGCCGGTATCCCTTTTAAGATAATAACAGACTGCGACAGTTTTCGCCTTACTTTAAGTAAACAGACAGTTAATCCGCGAATATATCGTTGGGCATTATTTTTAGAGCAATACTGTTATCAAATCGTACATCGACCCGGTACACAGATGAATCATGTCGACGCGTTGAGTCGATGTCATAGCATTCTAATATTAGAAGCTAATTCGTTCGACCGAACTTTATCTATTCAACAAGATCGGGATGTAAATATAGTAAACATTCGAAATAAATTAGAAAAATCTGAGGATAAATTCTTTGAATTGCGAGACGGTCTTGTTTACCGTAAAGATAAGGGTAAAAAACTCTTATTTTATGTACCGATATCAATGGAAAGTAATGTAATCCGTACGTGTCATGATGACATTGGCCATGTCGGCCTCGATAAAGTTATTGCTAACATTAGGCAAGTTTACTGGTTCCCACAAATGAGAGAGAAAGTAAAGTGCTATATTTCTAATTGTCTGCGTTGTATAGAGTTTTCCCCTTCTAGTGGAAAGAAAGAAGGCAAGTTACACAGTATACCGAAAGAGAACTTACCCTTTCGAACGATCCATGTCGACCATTGTGGTCCCTTTGAAAAAACCAGTCGCGGATACAAATATATTTTAGCAGTAGTAGATGCTTTTACAAAGTTTTTGAAAGTATATCCGTGCAAATCTACGGCCTCGAATGAGACAATTAATCATTTGCGAAATTATTATCGAACTTATAGTAAGTCTCGACGCATTGTAAGCGATCGCGGAACAGCCTTTACATCAGATAAATTTACTGAATTTATAAATAATGAGTCTACTCAGCATATCCTCGTAGCTGTTGGTACTCCGCGTGCAAATGGTCAAATAGAACAGTTCAACCACGACATTACTCCGATGATTGCGAAGTTATGTGACGAACCACACAAATGGGATCAAGTTTTAGATCAAATAGAATATGCATTTAATAATATGTCGATCAACGGGGGAAACCCCCAGTAAACTATTATTTGGCGTAGAACAACTCGGTAAAGTTAACGATAAACTTAAACTAGTTTTAGATACTGATACTAGTCGAGATCTAGTGTTATTAAGAGAAGCTGCCTCTGAAAAAATTCAGAAGAGTCAGAAAGAAAACGAACGCTATTATAACAAGAAACACAAAGAAGCGAAACAATATAAAGAGGGCGACTACGTAATGATCCGTAATGTGGACACTTCTGTTGGTACCAATAAAAAACTCATACCAAAGTATAAAGGGCCTTACGTTGTAAAGCGAGTGCTAGGTTCTGACCGTTATGTAATAACCGATGTCGAGGGATTTCAAGTCACTCAAATGCCCTATAATAGCGTCATTGCCGCCGACGCGATGCGACCATATATATCCAAATAAATATGACTAATCAGTATGTTTATTTAGTCCATAAGAAATGTTTGTTTTATCCGGCGTTACTTAATATGTTGGATATATTTACTTAAAACGTTTTGTTCCTATACGTACGACCGAGACGGTCGCAATGTCAGGCTGGCCGACTGTAGGCGAATTATTATTCTACCGATATTCATTTATATACACGCGTGAGCGGCGAATTACGTTTCCTCTCCCCCCCCTCTGCCGCTGGCGGCGCTGCGTAAGAAAGAAGGGAGAAGGTTAAGAGGTCAGTTCCCCGCAGAGTGTGAGCCATCGTGCGTGTTCTTTCGAGTACAGTTTAACCTAATAAAGATCCTTTGTTAAGATCCACTAGAAGCCTTATTAGAATTACGCCCTGACATCATCTAAAACTATCCTGACACCACCTACAATTTACTGCTTATTAAAAAAATACAAGTATCTAGCAACAAGTCACATAATTTTGATATATGTATCTTCAGTATTATTGTTTTTAAATCACAAAAAAACAGATATTAAAAAATATTAGCTCTTACGATTTTACAAGAAAAAAATCTCTTATAAATGAAGTAAATAATAAGTTTTAAAACATATATAGGGTTATCGCAATTTTCTCTGTTAGCTTTCACACCTTATATTTTTCAATTAGTGTACACGTCATTTCTTCATTAAATTCCGGATAAATAATCGCTTTGGCGCCCTGCACGATCGATTTTAGATTCATCATTATTCCGCTGATCCAATAAAGTGACGAGAACCACATTGCCACCGCATTGGCCAAATCTATATTTGTATCTTCGCCGATAAATAATAGACAATCCTAAAAAAATCATAAAAATGAAAAGGTCAGGCCATGTTCAAAAGAAAGTACTAAAAAATTTAAACGATCTAATAATAAATTATCACGAAAAGTAACTGATATGTTATTCAAGGTGCCAGTTCAAAGTGAACATACGTAAAGTGTATATTATCTAAATTTAGTAATAATATATTACCATGAAAAGTAACTGTGATATTTTATTCAAGGTGCAAGTTCACATTGAATATACATACATATAAGTAAAACTGATTACAATTTGATTCTAGAAAATAAGTGCGATATGTTATTCTTAGTGCACAAAATATAATAGTCGTTTATAGAGATTTGATTTGAAATTCATACTAGCCCGTACAATGAAAAATAATTGCTCGTAATTCCAGAGTACCAATTTGTTAATGACTCAGAAAAATAACATGGCGGCCTGCTCTCAAAAAACTATGATGTTTCTCGATGTCCATTTAGAAATAATGTCAAAGCTCTTACAGAATAATTACTACAACATTTGAAATACGAAAAGTATTACATTAGAAGAAGATTAGATTAGAATAAGGATTCAACGTATTTTTAAAAGTTCTACACACACAACGAAGTGAATATACAAAACTATATACAAATACCTTTTTCTTCTGTGTTTCTGAAGAAAATTGTAAGTCAAATGAAACCTTGCACTTTGAGAACCATGTCACTTACTTTTCAGAGTCAAATTGATAAATTTTTTTTGTATATTTTAATGATATTTATTTCTCACTTGTAGCTTGAATAATTAATATGTAATTTTTTATTGTATTTTACGACAAATAATCAGTAAACTTTTTAAGCGTATAGCTTTATTGTAGTTGACCTGAGAACTGTACATTTATAAATTTTAATTAATATACACCCGTTTCGAGCAACAAGGCAAAGTTTTCTGATCAATAACTTACTCCCTGAAAATACGGTATAACACAAATCGGAAGTTGATACAAAAATTCGAAATTTTACTAAAGAAAGATTGGAGGTTTTTAATTTATACAATTTTCACAACTCTTATTTCAATTATTTATTCTACCCATCGAAAGTTTTTTGAGAGCAGGCCGCCATGTTATTTTTCTGAGTCATTAACAAATTGGTACTCTGGAATTACGAGCAATTATTTTTCATTGTACGGGCTAGTATGAATTTCAAATCAAATCTCTATAAACGACTATTATATTTTGTGCACTAAGAATAACATATCGCACTTATTTTCTAGAATCAAATTGTAATCAGTTTTACTTATATGTATGTATATTCAATGTGAACTTGCACCTTGAATAAAATATCACAGTTACTTTTCATGGTAATATATTATTACTAAATTTAGATAATATACACTTTACGTATGTTCACTTTGAACTGGCACCTTGAATAACATATCAGTTACTTTTCGTGATAATTTATTATTAGATCGTTTAAATTTTTGAGTACCTTCTTTTGAACATGGCCTGACCTTTTCATTTTTATGATTTTTTTAGGATATCACTTACTTTTTAAAGTACAGATATATAGAGCAGCTTTCTAGTAATTCAAGTATTACAAATATATGTATTTTCGATTCTTATCACATAACTTTGTATAAGTAACAATTTATGCAATACAGTTCAAAATAATTGAAATATATGGTATATATGTACATATATAAAATATATAATTATATTATAGTATACATATATATTTTATTTAATCATATATGTAAATGTTTGTATAATTGTAATAACTTTTAACGATACATTGCACATTTATTTCAATTGCAACAGAATGAATTTATATTCTTGTATGAATATTGAAAATAAAGAATGGGCCCCTCCATCGCCCATTCTCGTGAGAACGCAACCATATATTTTTCTTCGTCTCTCCGATTTTAACACGACATACATATTTCTGTCTGATAATTTTTTTCTTGATGATACTTTTTGAAATGTCATGAAGCCTAGGTCAAATTAGAAACTTATTGCACTCGTTTTAATGCAGCGCTTACAGCAGCTTTTATAAAGCGCCAGAGCAGCCGATATTTTATTTTGGCGCTTACGGCAACTTTTATACAGCGCTAGAACAGTTGATGTTTTAATGTAGCGTTTACGGCAGCCTTTATACAGCGCCATTATTTAATCTGTTCTAAGAACAATATTTATGCCCCTTGTGCTCCTTTGGGCCATTTTTTCTTGAACACTTCCATATCATTAGAGTAATACCATTCCGATTTTGTGTCAGCTCTCAACATACACGTGTAGTGACCACGATTCATTTCTTCACCTTCGTGAAATATAGCGCTTATTAGCTTGTACTTTTTTTATTAATCGTGATATTACTCGTCGGCACGGCGGTAATCCGATTGTTGATAATTTTTTTAGAAGCACCGTTTACAAAAGTATATAAATTGAGCTGTATTACTACGACGGATAAAGTTGATTCGATTACGGTTTTCTTTTTCAACACGGTGCCCTTACATTCGTTACAATTGCCGTTTATCGTTTCCCATTTAGAAAATTCTACATTAATCAAACTTTGTAGAGTGACACCTTTTTTCCTTTTTAATGTCGAATGTATAGGTAATATTAACAAACTACTGCTTTCCAGCTTAGTTACATTGTAATTACATTTGACATTCGAGCAACATGTTACGTGCTTTAATTCGAGTTTTAATACATCATTGATGTCGGAATACGTCGACATTAGAGCCGTAAAAAATTCCGAAACATCTTGTTGTGTTCGTTCTTCGAAGCGTTTTCCGACAGATCTTCTAACCGCTTGAATGTTGCAATATTTACGTTCACCATACGCGCAGATAGCATCAGTCAATGCATTCGATGCTTTATTTTTCAGTATTTGTTGCCTAATACGTACGCAATGAAACGCACATTGTAATATTACATTAGCGTAACACGAAACAGCATCGTTATTGCAAAGGCCATATATTTTCCACGTAACTATACTTTCTGGTTCCTCACAATCATAATTCTGCATATCATCAATGATATTAGGGATATCCCATCGACGATCGTACATTTTCACAACCTTTTTCTCGGACGGATTGATTTGTGGCAGTTCAGATTTGAATATAGATCTCAGTCGATTATATTCTACAATGGCTCTCGAGTTTGCTTTAACTGATGCTGGATTGAAATTTATCAAATGTAGGCCTTCCAATTTACTTACTCGTGACAAACCTACATAGGCTTGACCATCACTGAATACAGTCGTTCCTAAATCCATCATTGCATTGTTACATGTAATTCCTTCGATTATAAATAATTCGACATTCTTTAATTTGTCTCTCAAAGTTTTCAAGACCATGTCTGACAATTGCGTATATTTTGGTGTAGATTCATGACTAACCGGTAGTTGAAACATTCTATGGATTGTCAAGCCATCGATATTGAATGCTGCGATACCCGTGGGAGCAGATATGGCAGTCGTTTTTTCCAAATTTATTCTGATCCAATGTTTAATCGTTTCAATTAGAAAACTTTTCCCTGTACCACCCTCGCCACTTACGTACAGTCGCAGAATCTGATTCTTATCTTGTAAAACTTGGCATACTCCATCAAAGACTCTTTTCTGGTCTTTGTTCAATTGCGACATCATTTGCGATAAATCAATCGGGTCGTCAATCTTACCAAAATCTTCCAGATCTTTCATCGCGTCGTCAGCTTCTATCGGATTACAATCCAGTTCATCGTCATCGGATTTGTCTCTGTCTGCTGTTTTCAGATCATTTTCGCGCTTCTCGATTAATTCAGCAACGTTCTCAAAAGCTTTCTGTATTTCTTCGAGCCTTTCGTGATATTTCATTGCCTTCGTTAAAACAGACTCTGAATTCTTAAAGGCATCCGTGTAAGTCTCGAATGTACCTTTGAGTTCACTCAAATCTCTCCATGGTTTGAACAGAAGAAGCAGCGAGTAAAAGTATTTTTCGGGCTCAGTTTTTATATTAAATCGATAATGGTTAATTAAATAACCCTTTTTTCGTTTTTTTAAAAATAAACCCGATGCCAGTTTGTAACACTTGACTTCGTCATTATTTGACATCTGTTTCGTAATTTCCCAGAATCTGGCAAAATCGTACAAATTCAATGATTCTAATTCCTGAGGTCTATTTGGATAGTAATCATCGATGAGTGACGAACAGTAAATATTCGTAGAATTTTCATCAAGAGCTTAAATTTCATTAAATGTTTTAACTTTTCTATTTCTCACCTCATTAACATCGATCCATTTGACCATGGTATCATTATCCGTACCGTACAAGGGATTCCCTAATAGTGTATCCGCAGCTTCTAAAGCACCGCATTCTCTGTTATTTAATGAACGCATTGCAAAATTCCACAGTTTCGATGCCAAGGACTTATTCGAATCTATCACTTCAAAGTCTGTATTGCATTTTTCCGACTTTGTCGTGTATTTTGTTAAATATGAGTTTAAAAACTCTGATTTTTCTCTAATAAATTGTATGTCCATATTTCCCTTCCAGGCTAATTTGATAGACGGATTATAATCATTTATAAACCTTTCCGACTCCTTGCGAGGAAGATCGTACAATCTGCTCTTACTGCGTAAATTTTTTCTACCGACTATCGAAGTGATAACGTCTCTTAAAACGAAATTCTCAGTAACTGGCCGAGGAAAATCGAACCGACACTTTCTGTATATATTAGTTTCCGTTTTTTTCGTACGCATGCAATACGAGTTATGTTTATGATTCTGATCACTTATTACCGTATCGTACAACGTTGGCGAAACATTTTCATCTGGAATTTCACACGTTACGTATTTTTGAATAAACGTAGCAACTTCTTCATCCGGCGATTTTCCTAATACTGGAGCATCTTTTATCCAAATCATACAATGCATGTGCTGGATACTTCTACGTTGATATTCCAGTCGCCAGAAGTAATGAATAACCTTTCCTATTGGATTATCGGACGAACAAATAAAATCAATCATGGCTTTGAATTTTATGCACATGAATCTAGAA